GCGAGGAGGCCACGAGGGGCTGCAACGGGGCCGCGAAACAAACCAAGGGGGCCACGAAGGGCCGCAACGGGCCACGAAACAAAGCGAGGGGGCCACGAAGGGTCGGGAGCGCGGCGCTGGAGGAAATTGCAAGAAATTCCAACGCAAGGGCGCTATTCTTGAGTAAATTGCAAGCAAGTCTCCAGCGAGAGCGCGACTCCAGAACGCAGGAGGAGCGATTCCTGAGTAAATCGTAAGGAAGTCCCCAGCGAGGGCGCGATTCTTGAATAAAATGCGAGGAAGTCTCAGGCGGAAGCGGCGGTCCTGGCTAAATTGTAAGGAAGTCTCAGGCGGGAGTCGTTGTTATTGTAACCCGGGGGCCAGGGGACCAGTTTGAGCAGGAAGACTTTCCTTGACAAAAAACAAGGTGCGAGCCCAGGGGGGGCACATCAACGGAAAAAAATCCATGTGCACCGGTGGGGGGGGATCAACAATAATTATTCTTCAAGAATGAAAATTCAACAATCATTTAAAGACTGTTCGCTCTTATCTGCTCGCGTGCCATTCAATATGCATGTCCCAAAAGAGCGTGTTTTACCGCTGCTGGCGGAAAACCGGGGGGGGCACTACCGATTCGAACCCCCCCCCCTTCCCGAAAACCGGGGGGGGGCCACTACCGGTTCGAACCCCCCCCAGCTCATCATGAAAAGCGGGGGGGGCACTACCGGTTCGAACCCCCCCCGCCCCCCCCCCCTCGAAAACAGAGGGGGGTCACTACCGGTTCGAACCCCCCCCCTCCCTCGAAAACCGAGGGGGGGTGCGGACAGTGGTACGGATGGTGGTGGTGGGGACAGTGGCGAGGGGACAGCGGGGCAGCTGTGGGGACAGTGGGACAGTGGTGGGGACTGTAGTGGCGGGGACAGTAGTGAGGACAATGGCGGGAACAGTGGGGACAGTGGACAGTGGTGGGGACGGTGGTGGTGGGGACAGTGATGTGGGGACAGTGGGAGGTGGAAACAGTGGGACAGTGGAGGGTACAGTGGTGGTGGGGACAGTGGCGAAAGCGGTGACGAGGACGGCGGTGGGACAATGGGACAAAGGTGCACTGGGGACAGTGGTGGGGACAGTGGGGACACTGGTGGGAACAGTGGAACAGCTCAGTGGGACAGCGGAAGAGTCAGTGGGACAGTGGGGACAGTGGGGATAGTCGGGCAGTGGTTGGGGCCGTGGAGAAAGTGGGGAGAGTGGAACCGTGGTGGGAACAGTGGTGGGGACAGTGGGGACAGTGCGACAGTGGTGGGAGCACTGGTGGGGACAGTAGGGACGGTGGTGGAACCAGTGAGGACAACGGTGGTGAGGACAGCGGCGCTGGGAACAACAGTGGGGGATGTGGCGCGGACGGCGGTAGGGACCGGGAGTCGTTTGCTGGCGGTGAGTGGGGGGGGGGGATTCGAACCGGTAGTGACCCCCCCTCCGGTTTTCGAGGGGGGAGGGGTTCGAATCTGTAGTGACCCCCCCCGGTTTTCGAGGGGGAGAAGGGGGGGAGGGGTTAGGGGAGGGCGGGGGTTTTGCCGGGGAAGGGGAGGGGCGGGGGGTCCAGCAGGGAGGGGGGGATTTTCGGAGGGGGGGGGAACCCCGGGCTCCGGAGGAACAGGGGGGCAATTTTCCATAGTAAAGCAGCGTCATAACCCTGGATACCCGCCCTTTTCGTTTTCGATCGTACCCCCTCTGGGAGAGTATATTCATTCCCTGCCACGTGTGTTTAGTGAAGCCCTTGAAAACAAAGGGTAACAGATAACGGGAGAGAATGAGGACGAAGGGATCGGAGGAAGGGAGGGGAGGGGCAAGAAGGAGGGAGGACGACGATTTGCGCTGTGAGTGGCGATTCAGCTTGCGCCACGGCTTGCGCCAGCCACTCCAACACAGGTTAACCATAAGTTTCTCCATGGGTCGCGCCATAAACAGCGCCACGTACCACCCCCTTGAAAGAACAGATCGTGGATACCCCCACGGGGGGACGTACACCTGCGAGCTGGTGTCAGAAACAAATTTCGTGGAACCCTGAAAAGAAACGGGATGTTGGGAGAGCGGGGCGGAAGGATAGTGAGAATTGTAGAGGTCGAGAAGAACGCGGAAGCCCCAAGCGAGAGCGCGATTCTTCAATGCATTGTGAGGAAGTATCAAGCGGGAGCCGCGATCCGGTGGTATATTGCAAGGAAGTCCCAAGCGAGAGCGCGATTCTTCAATAAATTGTAAGGAATTATCAGGCGGGAGCCGCTGTCGTTGTAAACCGGTGGCCAACGACACAGTTTGACCTTCAAGATTTTCCTTGATGAAAAACAAGGTGCGAGCCCCGGGAAGGGCATTTCAATCATAATTAGCCTCGCGACAGACCCAACCATACGCAGTTGTGACTCCCGCAATTGCGAATAACATCTTCGCCCGCGCCCCCGATGTGGCCACAACTTCCCGCCGGAGCCCGACATGCTCAGGGACGCGTTCGTGGCCGTCTTCGCGGGCGCCGACGACGACGAGGACGGCGTCCCCCTGACCGAGGAGCAGAAGCAGGAGAGGGCCCGATATGGCCCGAGGCCGCCATGCGAACCCTGCCACTGGCGCCTTCGGTGGAGCTCCTATGGGGCCACGATCCTCGTGAGGGGTGTGCCGAAATGGCCCGAGGCCGCCACGCGAACCCTGCCACTGGCGCCTTCGGTGGAGCTCCCTATGGGGCCACGATCCTCGTGAGGGGTGTGCCGAAATGGCCCGAGGCCGCCATGCGAACGCTGCCACTGGCGCCTTCGGTGGAGGCCGCGATCTTCGTGAGGGGTGTGCCGAAATGGCCCGAGGCCGCCATGCGAACGCTGCCACTGGGGCCTTCGGTGGAGCTCCGTATGGGGCCACGATCCTCGTGAGGGGCGTGCCGAAATGGCCCGAAGCCGCCATGCGAACTCTGCCGTTGGGGCCTCCGGTGGAGCTCCCTTCGGGGCCACGATCCTCATGGGGGGCGTGCCGAAATGGCCCGAGGCCGCCATGCGAACGCTGCCACTGGGGCTTTCGGTGGAGCCCCCTATGGGGCCACGATCCTCGTGAGGGGTGTGCCGAAATGGCCCGAGGCCGCCACGCGAACGCTGCCACCGGGGCCTTCGGCGGAGCTCCCTATGGGGCCACGATTCTCGCGAGGGGTGCGCCGAAATGGCCCGAGGCCGCCATGCGAACGCTGCCACTGGGGCCTTCGGTGGAGCTCCCTATGGGGCCACGATCCTTGTGAGGGGTGTGCCGAAATGGCCCGAGGCCGCCACGCGAACGCTGCCATTGGGGCTTTCGGCGGAGCTCCCTATGGGGCCACGATCCTCGTGAGGGGTGTGCCGAAATGGCCCGAGGCCGCCATGCGAACGCTGCCACTGGGGCTTTCGGTGGAGCTCCCTATGGGGCCACGATCCTCGTGAGGGGTGTGCCGAGCCCGAAGCCGCCATGCGAACGCTGTCACTGGGGCCTTCGGTGGAGCTCCCTATGGGGCCACGAAGCGCTGTATTGGGTGGGTGAAACGCAGGGAGGAGGGAGGAGGAGAGGAGAGGAGGAGGAACGCGGGGCGACGTCTCTTCAAAACGAGGACCCAAGACCACAGGATGGTTGGGAAAAACAATGTGCACCAGACGGGGGGATCAACTATAACAACAACAACCAGAACCCGCATCGCGGAATTCCACTTCAGCCACGCACCCAGGGACAGTGAATGACCGTTCGGTTCATCCCCTTCAGTCTGACCCACGGTTTGGGGTCAACCCTAAACCTTGGGCAGCAACCCTAGGACTGCTACATCCTGTTTTGCTTTTTAGCCCCTGCATCGCTATCTTCGCATTGTGTCAGTTGCTGCACCCTGCCTACCGAGGTGGCACTGCCAGGAAAACTATTGGGTTTAGCGTTATCTTGGATTTGGGGTCCGGGGGGTGTCTCATTCAGGTTCGTGCCGACCTCTAGTGCCTGGCGTGCGCCGATTCCTTTTACGAATCCCGCATTGGCGTTATGTTTTTTAATGTGTTGCGGCGCCTTCCAGGTACATGCCGAGTCGCGTTCGCCTACGCTCTTGCGCCACAGGTTTTCACTTCAGGTTTGCCACAGCGAGAGCCACATTAAAAAAAAAAAAAAAAAAAAAAAAAAAAAAAAAAAAACGCCCTCATTCCGTGAAACTCTTGCAAATGTGTAAGACAAATGCGCGCGGCGCTAAGGCGAAAACCACATTTTGAAAACGGCCCGCCATCAATCCGCGAAACTCTTCTTAATGTTTAAGACGAGTGTGCGCGGCGTTAAGGCGAGAGACATTTTGAAAACCGCCCGCCCTCCATGTGCGAAACTGCTCCCAAATATAAACTTCAGGATCAGACGTGGCAACGAAGTCGCAGGCAAAACGCCCGATCCGCCCTTCCGACTGGCCTCGGGGTGCGTCAGGGAGGAGTTTTTGTGTTGGAAAAGGAATGGAGGAGGGGGAGGAGGAGGAAGAGGAGGAGGAGGAGAAGGAGGAGGAGAGGGTGGGGAGGTGGAAGAGGAGGGCAAGGAACAATTTTCCCCGCATCCGTCGGCGGCGCCTCCGGCGCGGCCACGGCGTGCTCCGCGCGCCAGCGGCAGGGGGTATCGGGAAAAGGGTATGGCACAACCCACGAAAGCCGCGTGAGCCTCGGCAAGTTTACGGTCAGGAGCGTTGGCTTGGCGTGTCGCGCCGCCAGATCTAGCCCACCACGCGTCGACGCGACACGCTAACTACTTCCCCGTCCCCGAGCGTCAACGTCCCGATCTTTTCTCAACCTCCCGCCCCGCGGAGCAGAGCGGCATGCTATCCGCTTGCAAGGCATAATAAGCATTGCCAGGGCCACCGCGGCGACATCTTTAGCAAAAGTTCCTGACCGTATGCTCGTGCAGTTTTTTAGGTTTGTCCCTTTCGACCTCTTGTGGTAGGGGGGTGGGGGGCGGCACCGCCTTCAAGATCCTAGCATCCGCGTGCCCGCCCTCGTGGCCCGATCCACCAGCACCTCGGCTACAACGCGGGGATCAGCGCGTGCGAAAAGGTTGAGCAGTGGCGGCTGGCGTTGTTGCTGCTCGCCCAGCTGCGGGGGGCGGCGCTGGCGCCCACCGTCGTCACCTATTCCGCTGTAATTAGTGCCTGTGGGAAAAGCTGTCAATGGCAACGCGCTTTGTCAATGTTGGACGAGCTCTGCGAGGCGAAGTTGGAGCCGGGAATATTCTCCTTTACAGGAATGACCAGGCGCAGCGCGTGCGAGTTGGGCGAACAGTACCCCCGGCAGCGAGGTGGTCAGATCGACCTGGCAGGCCCAAAGATGAGCCCAGGACGATCCTGAGGAGACCTATGGGAGCACCGTCAGACGGCACAAGTGCTCCGCAAGGATGCTCCGAAATAACACAAGATGGCCCAACAGGCTTCCGAAACGGACCCCGAATGCCCGAGAGGCTTAATGGCCGCTAGAGAGCTTCGCAAGGCTCTAAGAAGATCCGCGGAGACCCTCCACGAAGCACGAGAACGTAGACGTGCTCCAAAGGCGACCGACAGCGCCGAAGAGCCAAGGAAGGCGCTGGAAGAGAGCTCCCCGGGCGCTCCGGGAGAGCTGCGCCAGGGCGCCCCGGCATGGTCCCAACAGTTCCCCAGTTGGGCGCACATGAATGAGGGAGGGAAATAAGTGAGGGGGGGAGGAAGGTGCCCTTCACAGGCCCCCTTCTGGGCCTGCAAGGTCCCCTTTCGGGGCCCTCAGGCCTCTTTTCGACAGACCTCGCTGCCCCCCCATTTGTCGCCGCCCAAGTCGGACCGCCCCGACGCCCCAAAAATGGCAACCCAGACGCCCGAGAGGCACCCAGGAGCCCCCAATAACCCCCAGGTACCCCCAAGGGGGGGGGGGCCAAAAGAAGCCAAGCTGGCCCCACGCAGGCCTCCCGTAGGCCCCGACGTGATCCGCGGAGGCGCGCTCCCTCGCAAGAACGGTTCGAGATGGGCTTTGGTGCTTTGCCTGGCCTCCAAGCTGGCCCCGTGGCGGCTCCATGACAGCCCGAGGCCGCCCCAATTCAGTCCCGAGAGCTCCTCGGCTCGCCCCCGCGCCACCAAACTGGTCTCCAAACGCCCCGAGAGCGCTTCTTGTCTGTTTTCCCTTCTTCGGAGCGGCTCCAATCTGAATGGGCGACCCGTCGGTGAGCTCTCCCTGAGAGTTCATGCCGTCTTCCGAGCCTACGCAGCTCACGCGCTTCCTCCGACCTCCACGGACGGCCACAGTCACGACGAAACATCGCTGGAAAATCGAACGCACATCAGAGTGAGGGGGCCGGATTGCCATTCACAGTCCCTGGGTGCGTGGTTGAAGTGGGGCTCCGCGGTGCGGATTGCTGTTGGTGATGGTGTTGTTGTTGGTGTTGGTGTTGGTGTTGGTATTGGTGTTGGTGTTGGTGTTGGGGTTGGGGGTTGCTGTTGTTGTTGTTGTTGTTGTTCTTGTTGTTGCTGTTGTTGATGGTGGTGGTGATGTTGTTGATGGTGTTATTGTTGGTGCTGTCGTTGCTGCTGTTGTTGTGGTTGGTGTTGCTGTTGCTGTTGTTGGTGGTGTTGTTGATTTTGTTGATGCTGTTGCTGGTGGTGTTGTTGGTGGTGTTTTTGTTGTTGACTAGGGAGGAGCCACGCCGCCCGGGCCGCCACCCTTCCCCCCCAAACAACAACAACGACAACAACAAAACCAACAATCATGTTAAGACTGTTCGCTCCTATCTGTTCACGTGCCAACCAATACGTATATCCCAAACCCTCGGCACCCGCCCTCGTCGTCTTCGATCGTACCCCCTTGGGGGTAGATCTTCCTTTCCTGCCACGTGCATGTAGTACAGCCCCTAAAACAAGGGAAGAGGGGACGGGCGGAAAGGGGGAGGGAGAAGATTGGAGCACGAGACAAATTAGCAGGATTGGGCGAGGAGCAGAAAACAAGTGGTAGAACCAGGCGGGCAGATCGGGTGGGCAGACCCATAGCGGGCAGGTCGGGAAGGCGGGCCCAGGCGACCAGGTCGAGCTGGCGGGTTGCTGAAGCGTGGGTCCTTGCATGAATCGCGAGGAAGTTTCAAGCGATGGCTCGATTCCCAGGTAAATCGTGAGAGAAGCCAAAGCGAGAGCGTGATTCCTGAGCGCCGAGGGCGCATCGTCTGAATACATTGCGAGGAAGTCTCACGCGAGGGCGCGATGCGTACATGTAGGAAAGTTCTGGTTCGGCTCGGTTCGGTTAGGTTCCGAAGCGCCTCCGGTTCGGTTCGGTGCGGTTCGGTGTCGTAATCTTCCGGTTCGGTTCGGTTCGGCTCGGTACGTTTATTTTTTGTTTCCGGTTCGGACCGGTTCCTGTTTCGGTTCGGTCCGGTTGCGTTTCTTTCGATGCCGATGGTTCGGAGGAGGAGGAGGAAGAGGAGGAGGAGGAGGAGGAGTAGCCGGGGCGACGCAGCGTGCTGGCGCGCCCCAGCGCCCCAGCGCGCCCGGCGCGCCAGGCGAGGTGCATTGCTGCCGGTGTCGTCGTCGTGGTCGTCGTCGTCGTCGGTCGTCGGGCTTGGCGTCGGTGGTCGGGCGCCGAGAAATGCCGCGGCCGTGGTCCTCTCCGTGGACCTTGGGGTCCGTGGACCTCTCCGTGGACCTCTCGTCCTTTTTTCTTTGGGCCCGAAAACGGCTGCCGCTGGCTGCCGCTGCTGCTGGCCACCGCTGGCCTCCGCCGCTCGGGGGGCCCCAAAGGGGCCCCAAATCTCGTTTTTGGGGGGGGGTCCGTGGACCTCTCCGTGGCCACTGGCCGCCGCTGGCTGCCGCTGGCTGCCGCTGGCCTCCGCCACTCGGAGCCCCAAAGGGGCCCCAAACCCGCATAGGGTCCCCAAAGGAGCCCCAAAGGGGCCCCAAACCCCCAAAGGGGCCCCAAAGGAGCCCCAAAGGGGCTCCAAACCCGGATGGCGGCCCCAAAGGAGCCCCAAAGGGGGCCCAAACCCCCAAAGGGGCCCCAAAGGAGCTCCAAACCCGCATAGGGGCCCCAAAGGGGCCAAAACCCCCAAAAGGGACCCCAAAGGGGCCCCAAATTCCCAAAGGGGCCCCAAACCCGCATAGGGGCCCCAAAGGGGCCCCAAACCCGAAAGGAAAGGGTTGTCGGGGTGGCTGCAGCAGACTGCTGGTGGGTCGGTTCCCGCGGGAACCCGGGTACCCTGGCGGCGGCCCCCTGCCCTCGCGCGGGGGGGCGCCAAAGGGGCCCGCCCTCCCGCGGTCCGCTCCGCGCCCTCGACGTCGACGTCGCCGACGAGGGACGACGGACGAGGGACGAGGGACCGACCGACCGACGACGGACGACGACGGACGACGGCGAGCGGCAGCGGCCGCGACGGCGGGGGACGACGGCGAGCGGCGGCGGACGACGGCGAGCGGAGCGGCGGCGACGCCCGCGCCGCCAGCCAGGTGCTCGCGTTTTTTTCGCAACGTCGGCCCCCGGAGGTCTGGAGACCTTCCCCGGAACCGGTTTTTGACGTTCCCGGAGGCCGAAATAGCGAAAAACCTCCGGTTGAGATTTTTTCACAGCGCCTAGATTTGGGGCTTGTCGTCATCGTCGTCGTCGCCGCCGGTCATCCTCCCTCCTCCGTGGCCAGTTTTCCGGTTCGCTCCGGTTCGGTCCGGTTCGGGCCGGTTCGGCGGGGGGAGGTTCGGCCCGGTTCGGAGTCCCGGTTCGGTTCGGTTCGGTTCGGTGTCGTAATTTTTCGGTTCGGTTCGGTTCGGTCCCTATTGACAAAAAACACCGGTTCGCGCCAGTTCGGTTCGGCTGGTTCGGTTCGGTTCCCGAACCATCTTGCACATGACTTGTGAGGAAATCCCGCGCGAGAGCGCGATGTGGGAATACTTTGTGAGGAAGTATCAGGCGGGAGCAGTTGTTGTAAACAGGGTGCCAGGCGGGGAACAAAACAAACAAACAAACAAAAACATAAGAACACAAAAAAACAACACAACCAAAAAAAACGACTGGGCGCGAGCCCCGGGTGAAACACTTCAATTGGAGAAAAAAACTAGTCACGGGAGAGGGGGGTCAACAATAATCATTTTCAGTGGCGAAAGTTCAACAACAACAACAACAACAACAACAACAACAACAACAATAACAACAACAACAACAATAACAACAATAATTGTCAGACCGCTCGCCCTTTATATGCTCCAGTATCCAATAACGCGTATTTCCCAAACCCTCGATACCCGCCCTCTTCGACTTCGATCGAACCCCTTTTGGGGGGTATACCTTTCTTCCCTGCAGGCCGGGCCCCGGCAAGCGGCGGGGCGACCGCAGAAAGTCGGCCTGGCCAGCGGCAGCGCTGATCGGCGGGGCGGCCGCGGACCGTCGACCCGACCCCAAGAGGGACGGACAGGGGACCGACCACGACGACGACGACGACGACGCCGACGACGTCGAAGACGACGACGGCGACGACGACGACGACGACGACGACGACGACGACGACGAGCGAAGACGAGAGCGAGAGAGAACGACAGAAGGGCCACGAAGGGTACGAAGTAGGCCACGAAGGGCGACAGCGGGGACACGAAGGGAATGCGTATGGGGCCACGAAAAGCGCGAACGAGCGGGGGGCACGAAGTGCAGATAATGCGGGGCCACAGAAGGCAACTATGGGGCCACTGGGGGTAGCAACTGGGCCACGTGGGACAGTGACGGGGATACGAAAGGCGACAGCGGGGCCACGAAGGGCACGCACATGGGGCCACAACGGGCGCGACTCCTGGGTGCCTGGGTGTCGGGAGCGCGGCGCTTGGGCAAATTGCAGGAAATTCCAACGCAAGGCCATTCTTCAGTAAGTTGCAAGCAAGTCTCCAGCGAGAGCGCGACTCCAGAGCGCCGGGAGAGCGATTCCTGAATAAGTTGTAAGGAAGTCCCAAGCGAGAGCGCGATTCCTGAATAAAATGTGAGGAAGTCTCGGGCGGGAGCGGGGGTCCTGGCTAAATTGTAAGGAAGTCTCAGGCGGGAGCCGTTGTTGTTGTAACCCGGGGGCCAGGGGCCCAGTTTGAGCAGGAAGACGTCCCCTGCCAAAAAAACAATGTGCGAGCGTCGAGGGGCACATTTTGATTGAGAAAAAGCAGTATGCACCAGTGGGGAGGATCAACAATAATTGTTCTGTAGAAGTGAGAATTCAACAACAACAACAACAACAAGAAGAAGAGCAAGAACAAGAACAATAACAACAACAACAACAACA